GCCTGTCAATGAACAAAATCTGAAGCCTCTTACATCATTGGTTGTGTAAACCCCTCTTTTCTTCTGTATATCACTTAAAATATGGAAGCCTTGGCCAAGAAATGATCTGTCAAAGCATAATCAGAAGTGTGCTGTTTCTATTTCTTAAAGATTTGATAGTTGGATTTTACTCCAAAGCTTCAGCTGCCTTCGAAGGTAGAAGAACAAAATGAACTTTTTAACTACTCTATCCACAACATTTTCAGGTATACATAAATACATATTTGACGCAAGATGCAATAGAAGAATTATAGGAGAATGGGAAGGGAAGAGAAGAAGAGAAAGGAGGGAAAAAGAGAGAAGAATTGAGGGCAAGAGGAAATCAATTTATTTCATATAATCAGGTTAAATGCAAAAGACCCCTTGGTTTCTAATATTCTATTCTAAGAAAGAAATATCTAGTAAATGCTATTAAATCAGACATTATCAAGTTTCCTAAAACACACATCAAAATTGGAAACTACATATAATAATATCTTTTATAATATTGCATCAACATTATTTTTGGGCAGCTAACATGTGTTTACTAACTTTAACATTCTCTTTTAAGAAACTTCACGCCTCAGTTTGCAGGTCTCAAAGAGAACTTGGGGGGTCCTCGGTACTCCTGAAGTAGTTTTCCAGCATCATTGCTAGCCTTTCAAGGTAGAGCTAGCATGAGTATATCCTTATATTTTTTGGTGGTAGATTGTCAGTTTTAGCACGAGTATATCCTTACATTTGTTGCTGGTAGATTGTCAGTTTTTATGTTATATTTAGCAAATTGTTTTTATTTAGATGGATATGCACAATGTAAGCTTGGGGGGATGGCTCACAAATGTGTGAAAAATGCAGCTTGGAAAGAGTCTGTCACTGGCCATCGTAGTCGGATAGGTTCAAATGTGAAAGTATATGATTAATTTTCAACAATAACAGGGGTTGAGGTTATCTTGATAGAGTCAATCACAAAAATTGTTGTAAACCTTAAAGCTGCCAATAGTTTCCCAGTTTTTATGGTGCATTGATTTAAGAAAAAAATGAATGCGGCACTGAATTGCAGTTCTTCTATGAATGAAGAGCTTCATTCTTTATGCAGTGGGCTTCTTTTATGTTAGGCTTTTCAATGTTATTCTGTTATGAAGTGAGAGAACTGAACCATTTAAAACACCATTCATGTTAATTACATTTGTGTATTAAGTTTCCGCTTTTACTGCTCAAGTCATGTTGGAAATATGGTACAAAAGTAGCAGTTGACCAAAGGATGATGTGGATGCTGAATCGATGAATTGACCATGATGACTGTTGACTCAATTCAATTGTTTTGGCTCTTAAACGTGCTTCCTTTTTGGACTTGCTATTGTTGATTGAAAAACGCATTTTGGAAAACACACTTTTGTTAGTGGATAGGTTAAATGAAATGCTAGTGTTGCCTCCTCGACCGTAGAATTGGTAACCTACTAGTGGTTTTCCATACACACACCAGTTGGATTCTAGGGTTTGATTTTATTCATTCACTTCGGACTGGCTTCTGGGCTCTCTCTCTCTAAAAAATTAGTTCATCTAACAAATCCAATATCTGAGATTCTGTTCTTGAGTGATCTATAATATGGTGTGAGAGATGATTAAGAGCCTATTTGTTTGCCATTTACCACCTCATTTTTAGAAGAAATGTTACCGTCTGTGGGCATCACTTAGCCCTTTTTTGACTTTTATCTCACAACTTTCATTTTGCATCAGCTATATTTCTTCTAATAAAGAGCAAAAAATGGTGCCCAAACACCCCTTAAGTGTTCTTGAACGAGCTTTAATCATATTTGAGAGGCTATTTTTGTATTCTTGAGTGATTTCGTTCTTGGTGGCCTGAAGTTGTAACGTTGGTTGATTTCATTCCGGTTAATGCAGTGATTTCTTCTGGTAACGGAAGCTCAAAAGGGGGATTAGGAACTTTGGTTTGAACCTCTTGCCTTGGGGCAAAAATTCTTGTGTTCATTTTTTACTTTCTGCACTTTATTTTTCAGTCGTCGTGTTTGTTTACAGTCTCCTAGTAGTTGGATCTAATCATAACCAGTCACATAGTAGCAGTTAAAGTGTGAAACATTATTCTTCTTCAGACTTGCCTACTATATTATATTGGAGAGTCTTAACCAAGAAATGATCCATCAAAGCATAATCAGAATTGGGCTCCTTCTATTTTTTTATGATTTTCTGAGCGTACTTGCTTCATCGATCGATTTCCAAGTTTGAATTAGGCTGTCATTACTCTTGGCATCAAATTATACTTTGTTGCGTTTCTACCTATCAAATTATACAATCTTTTGCTCCCATTTGAGAACCCGCCCATGTTCAGAAAATTCAGTATGTTTCCACTTAAATAGTAGACTGTCTCGAAAGTTACCTTCTTACCCATCTAAATTCTACTCAGCACTCAGAAAGTTGGGAACAAATTAGACTACAGTCACGACACTCCATATAATTTTGAGGTAAGCCCGACCCAGGCGCCTTCAATATATCCATTCACCCCAGTACAAGTCATAAATTTTAGGGTAGTGACAGTATATTTGCTTCAGGACAGGTTCATGCATTATTTATTGGATAATATTATATGAATTCTGACGCCAGTGTTATTTGACAAATATATATAACTTGACTGACTGGCGTACGAATGACAGACCTCTTTAATCCTTCCGATAAGTCATATTTTTCAACATAACGGCTGCAAGATAAGATGCCTGAAAAGCTCTACAAATTGTTTATTATTTTTGTTTTTAATCTGTTGGGTTTGGAGACTTTTAGCAAAAATGATCCAGAAGAAGAAATTCATAATATTAGTAGCCATAATTCTTCTAACTCCATGACAGTAACCTCAATTCACATTGATGGCTATGCGTCTCTGGGAATGTCTCAAAAGAGTTTTATTCTATGAAAATTAAAAACCTCAACAGGTGGAGTGAGGTGTCTGTTTATTTCTTTTCTTCTGGTTTCTTATCCTCTTGTTTCTTTTCCTCTGGTTTCTTGTCCTCTTCCTTCTTTTCTTCTTTCTTTTCTTCCTTCTTCTCTTCTTTCTTTTCTTCCTTTGCTGGCCCAACTGACAAAATATCAACCTTTCCCACTTTCTTTAATTTCTTCATCACTGCAACTGCGTCCATTTCTCCTATTACTGTCAGCTTTTGCTCCTTGAGATCAGCAGCAATTGAATCCACCCCTGTTCTCACAAACAAGTATTAGTATAAATTACTGAAAAACCAAAAAGAGAATTCATTTTTATGTACCATATATATCTGCTGCGGCTTCTATGGCTTTTTGCTTTGTTTTCTCATCAGTCATCGTCAACATCTTCAACACCACCTTCTGCTATCAGATTTCAGAAGAAAAATAAGATAATCTGATCATTTCATGTTAGTCTAAGCTAATAAACTATCTTTGTGTGTTGTAACCAAGACTCTTTGTTCACTTGTCAATCGCATTTCCAATTGGACAAGTGCTCGTCCCATCAGAAAAACCGAAAATGCCTTATCAAACTCGAGTACCAGCATGGATCACTTGGCTTTAGTAAACATATATGCGTGCCAACATGGAGAAAGATAGAGGGGGGGGGGGGGGGGGGGGGATTGTAGAGGCATACCATACCTGAGCCATTGAGGAGATGAGTGGAATTATGAAGAATGAAAGGGTGGGGAAACTTTTGAAGGAGTTTGTGTAACCTTATATCTTGGGGTTTGGTTGTGGAAAATTGAAATACTTCTTCAGGTGCTATTTGATTTGGGAAAATTGCACTATTAGTCCCCAACCTATTACACTAGTAACGGTTTAATATCCAACATTCTATTATAGGTCTACAATTTGTTTACAGTTACTAAAACAATATGTGAAATTGTTAACTCACTCTTACGCGTTTAACTTTATGAAGTCTAGTTTTATTTCCTAGCTTTGACAAGTGTTTACAAAGTTTGAATTGGTATTTGCTTTTATTCGGTGCACGTGATACTTGAAGATGATTTGGACATTGAAAACTAATTGTGCAATTATTGTGAAAAGTCGGTTAAGAGTAATTCACAATTAAAACATTATATTAAAGACTAACAAACCATTTTTTAAAAAAGAGTTAATGTACTAATCCTTGATTTGTAGAGATTAAAATTTAGATTTTAATTTAAGTTAAATTCAATAATTAATTTTAATCATATATTTTATGGAGTCCACAACTTTTCAATCACTCATTTCAATAATTTTTTATCAAAATCTACTAAAAATCTGATTTTAATTGCATGAGCAAAATATATTCAACGAGCTATAATTAAAGATTGAAAGAAAGTTGAGCATTTTGGGTCCATCCATTTAAAGCTTCATTCATTTAGAATTTTGTAATGTGGGGACTAAACTTTTAATGTAAGAGTATCTCTTAATAATTATATCTCATAATAATTAAAGCTCTTGAATATGACCATGACCACTAAAATGGAATTTAAAATCTTGAAAGTAATATGAAAAAAATAAATTAGGTAATTAATAGTTTACTTTCTTAAATATGATAATAAAATAAGTAGTTGGCAAATGTAGTATTTCGAAATACAAATTTATGCAATTTTAATTTTAATTTTATTTTATTTTTATATAAATTTAGAGTGTTTGAAATACATTAGATTGGACGCTATAATGTTCAACGTTTTTATAAAATTCAGAGGGTGTTTGGAAGTCATTTTTATGTAAAAATGCATTTTGGAATAGTAAATTGATGATAAATGTGTGGTTGAAAAAAAAAGAATTTTTTTTTATTTACGTGTAATATTATTTTAATGAAGAATGCGTGATTGAAAAGAAGAGAGAGAGAAATGCATTTTAAAAAAATGGGTACCTAACGGGTCTCAATATGCTAAATACATCTTTTGCAGCCCCCACTCGTGTAAAACCCTCTCTACTCGTCCCACATGACATGTTTCCTCTGTCTTGACTCTTGATTTGGCACGAAAGTAGAGTCGATTTCACTAAATCAATGTCAATATTGATTACTTTGAAAAGACGAAACTCGTTTATAACATTACAAGAAATTGTGGCTTCAGTGATAGATATTTTCATCGCAAAAGGTCGATAATCCTACTTATCGAAGAAATTTTCTTGTCGGTACATAATGAAAATAAAAGTTCGGCAAGTAATTTTTCGCAGCTAACATAATTGTCAATGGTTACTGACAGATTTACCTAAATATACATGTCCGTCATAAATATGAATGAATTTCTACAACATCTATCAGCAATTGTTTTATCGATAACTTAGTTCGATGAAAATTACCAACGAAATTACAATTTATATTTTTGTTGGCAGATTCCGACAAATAGAAAGGTATCATTATGATTTTACATTATCGTCATAAAGAGGGAGATGTTAGAAAAGATAGAATATACGAATTTTCTCTTGTAAAACTTATTTTTACCATAGTAAATTATAGCAGTATCGAAAAAGTACGTGGTCTCACATTAAAACAAGTGTTTATAAGTTTTGTCTGTTCTTGTGTATCTATTTTTCTACGGCGATCTTATTGCTTTTGATAGTATTGGGTTTTTAATTCCGATAAGTATGATCATACACAAATGATCATGATTAGTGTAGATTGACGCCCGTCTCTGTTCTTGAGGGATCAAAAAGAGTACTCACTCGCTCGACCCTAAAAGAAAGTTAAACAAAGACCATACTCGATTGATTGTCCTAATGCATGCTTTATCACCAATCAATGAACTTGTAATAGAAACAAAATGACGAATTATGATTAATAAATATTTTGAGATTCATGCAATTATCTATGGTTGGTCCATCCAATTTACAGTGAAATCGAGTCGTATTTGTAGTATTTGAGAGCATAATTTTACAGATTCTTATAAAAGGCTGGATAATTTTAAGAAAAGGCTATCATAAATGTAAACCATATTTTCAACATTAATTAATTTTTCTTAATTCTTTTTTCTGTTTTTGTGTATAATTCTCATATGTCACTTCACTATGTGGAAATTGGGGAATTTCTCTTAATATGAAAAGACTTGTTTGGGCAGCATAATCTTCACAAACGTGATGATGATTTCTTTGGACATTTTCATTTCAATTCAAATGTTCTGTCGTGTGAAATTTGAAGAATAAGATTTGATTTCATGTTAATTAACGATTAAAAATGGGTTAAGCGTGCTTTATTATTATTATTATTATTATTATTATTATTATTATTATTATTATTATTATTATTATTATTATTATTATTATTTCCTGATGATTTTATGTGCTTGCCATGAAAATTTGGTACGAGTAGGGTTTATGTTGTTTTTTATGTTTAATTAAAAAAATATTGTCTTTTTCCATTCTTTATTTAGCTCTTGTTTGGCACACATTCTTTTCAAAATACTTTTTTTTTTCCAATTACATATGCTTCAATAAAATAATATTACACGTAAATTCAAAACTTTTTCTTATTTTTTAACCACACATTTTCTATTAATTTACTATTCCAAAATACATTATTAGAATATACTAGGGGCTCAAAGAGGCCCTTAATGTTCAATTTTATATTTATTTTCGTTTATTTTAGTTAGAAAAATCATCGTTTAATCTAGAGAAAATTACATCATTGGTCGTTCATTGTTCAAATAGCAAATTGATTCTCAACTTTTAAAAATTAACAATTAGTTATTAACTTGTTAATATAGGTGCAAAACTAGTTAACAATAGAAAACTGTTCAAATATCTGTTAAACTGTCACACGACTATCACATATCCAGCTTTTTAAAGTTGAGTATTAATGTTTACTAAGTTAGACTAGTATTTAGAAATTTGAAAATGATACACTGTTAGTGACTGCTAAATACTATTTAGCAAACACTTAAATGACTCTCGTCGTTAAAATAGATTATACAATTGTAATATAAAATTGAGAGCCAACTTATTTTTTAAAAGGTTGGAGTCAAACTTATGATTTGATAACACTTCAAAATAAGGTTTACATTACAAAATTTAGAACTTGAAAATCCAAATGTGAAAAAAGCTAGAACGATTAAGCCTTTGCATTGCATAAGTGGCAATCCATGTGAATGGAAAAGGAAATGAAAATTCAAATGTGCTAGTAACATACGCCTAAATGGAAAACGGAGATAAAATTCATTGATAGATGAATCTCGTTAAATTTGGGGTTCAATAAGAATGTCAATGACCCAAAGTTTGTATGCTACAAATCCTTTATTTATTTATTTTTATTTTTTTTCAAATTTAACCCACCACTTTAGAGGAAAAGATATATACAAAAAGGAATCATTATATAACTAACTAATGTTAATGTTATTTGTGAAATATCTGAAAATGTTTAATTGTGCTCAAAACCAAAACCCGAACTAAGACCAATTGCTAGCTTTGAGACTGGAACTACAACCCGAAAAATATTGTTTCCATTTAACTTCCTTTTGCATTTTAATTTCTTTTAAAATTAGGCATGTTTGAATTGTTGTGAAATTGGGTCATAAAAGAATACACTTTAAATACATTCGAGGGAGGACTCAATTTCTATGTTTGGCACTTCAAGAGATTTTCTTTCTTTTTCCGGGTCAACATGGGGACTAGTAAAAATTTTGTAAAACTTAGCCTCCAATTGAGAAGAATTTAAATAAATAGAAATGAAGTGTGAATAAATAAATATTACTTACATGTAAATAAATAAATAAGAAAAGTCCCTTGGACTGGAAAACTGCTAAGGTGCATTTACAAGGTTTTCCTTTTTAACTTCCAATGGAAAATCGCCATTTGTTATCTGCAAAAAAAATAAAAATAAATTCATTGACCTATTGGAATTTTGTTTGTTCAAAATCAAATGAAAAAAAAATGGGCTTAACCATGCAACCACATGAGGTCCTCCCGAAAATGGGAGGGCAGGGAAGGCTATAACCATGCGACCGATCGCATGGTTGACGAAATGTGACCGTTGGGTCATTTTTTGACCTCTTTTCTTTCAAAATTGGTGACTTTTCATTCTTGTTTTTGCACCATTTCATGGAAGCTTGCCAATGCCTATAAATAGGCTATCCAAATGTAAGAAAAATATATTGAATTCCATTGAGATCTATCCCCAAATTATTCTTCCAAAATTGATAGAAAATTATCATATAATCATTCCATTTCTTTTCACTTGTTCATTTTGAAGATACACTTTTACTTTAGGTGTTCATCTCATCAATGCTTATTTAATCTTACGTACTATTTGTCGAAAATCCTTAAAAGCATTGAAAAGGAGGTAAATAACGTTTAAGGACAGCAAGATTAATTTCATGTTCAAGCCTCCATTGATTATTTATATATATTCCCTTTGTTGTGTTTCATTTTTCCTTCTCTATTGCCTTAATTTTCCAACAATCTCAAACGTTATCTGATTATTGTTACTGCGATGGAGACGGAATCTACACTTGCTACCATCAAAATGATGAATCAAGGTCTGGTACGCTTGGACAGATTCGATGACACAAATTTCACAAGATGGCAAGACAAACTTAAGTTTATGTTAACGGCCTTGAAGATTTTCTACATGCTTGATCCAATATTGGAGCACATTTCCAATGCAATTGACAAAGATATCGAAGAAATTCGTGCAGAAAGGAAAAAAGGGAAAAGGACGAATTGATATGCCGTGACCATATCCTAAATGCATTGTTCGATCGTCTATATACTACATTGGTAAAAGAAATCTGGAACGCACTAGAAAGCAAATATAAAGCCG